TTGGACTAGTAGTGCCACCCTGAGCTGCGTGTTGCATGCTAGGCACTGCCGCTTATCTAGCCTAGGGGGTGTGTCAACTTATACATATGCTTTTGCATGTGTAGGTATAGGCTAGACAGGTTCATGTTCTTAGGGAGTACAGCACCCAACTATATTTCTCCACGTATGCCTTCCGAGAGTCCACTTTGTTACTCTAACACAGGGCACACGACACATGGCACAAGGCACACGTGTCAAGAGACCCACTGGGGTTTCCCTAGAGATCCTCGGGTCAGGAGGGCCACAAACCTCTATGCCTGGGGGGTTCTGGGCGCGCTGTCCTGCTAAGAGAAACAAGCCATTTTAGCACTGCGGTTAGCGGTTGTGCTTTCTGAGAATATGACCCTTGGCACATGGCACAGGGCACATGGCACAGGGCATGTCCCTCTGTATGTCTCCTTGTCACACCATTCAACAGGACCTCGGTAGAGCCTCCCAACATTCGCTCGATGTGCTGCACCCTAAAGATGCTTCAGCCTGGACCAGTATCACGAATGCTGGTAGTGAGATATCGTATTCCTCCACATAGAGGACCTGCCATAGGATTGGACCCTAAGACATCCAAACAAACGAAGGGGCCTATAACCATAATTCAATTTTAGGCCCCTTCCCCCTTGAAGAGCAGGTTGACCTTTAAACCATTGTTCTCTTGTACAAGAGTAATTCAAGAAAAAGAAAAAAGGATCGCATAGCTTTTGCTGAGTACGCCCGCCTCCGTGCACACGTGCAAAATTTAGCTCTTGATGGCTCGGAGTGGGGTTCCTGCCATATGCGCATGCAAGTTTTCCATTTTATTGATGGTCGTAACCAGAAGGTACGATACAAGCAGCATCAATGATCTAATGACCAAGGTTGAGACCAGCTAGCACAATAGCATGCTAGCTGTCCAGCCCAGAGCCAGTCGGAGAGAGCTCTTCCTCTTCACTTGTACTCGCTTGAAGCAAGAATAGGACCTAGGGACGGTAAAAAACGTCACTTAGAAGCCATGTGCATTTGGAGATAGTGCAGTGATGGGTAGCCGACATGGTCGAAGAACGAAAGACAATAAGAGCGAGTGAAGTGGATGCACAGTCCGGAATCTTGCTATATTATTTCATAGACTATTTTGTAACTGCAAAAAAAAAATAAAAAAAAATGCAGGTGGTAAAAAGTATTTGCAATAGCGTCGGTATTATGTCAATTTGGTAGAGACGGGATCAAGCTGGTGATGTTCAGCACAGCGTTCGTCCCATAGTTCTTTTGCTGCCGCACCAACAAGCAGGCTCTGGGAGGAACCCATGTGGGAGCTGGAAAAACACACGAGTGGTGCAGAGACATCGATGTCCAGCTGAGAGTGCGCAATACGTTGTAAGGCAGCAGACATGTCTGATGCCGGTCCACACTCGGTGAAGTCATGGGGGAGGATTTCCAGGGGGGCGACTAGGCAGCGAGTGTACTAGCCACCCGGCTCGAAGAAGCAGAAGCAAGCTCCAGTTGTTAGGGTGCGGGAGTAGAAGCGGAAAAGAAGATTACGGGTTCATTTTGACTGTTCACGCAGGAATTGGTGCAGCTTTTCAGACGTTCTGATGAGAACCTGGGAGAGGGGCATAGAACACCTTCTTGAGGCCGCTGAGGGGCGGTCCTCCCGAACAAAGAAACTCGAGCTGATTGCTTAAGCCTGCACCAGAGCATTTAGGGCCCATCACCCATCAGTTGCGGATGAGAATGGCAAGAAGATCGTACTTCGGTAAAATGCAGTTGTCGAAGGGGCTCGCTGCTACAAGTCTGTTGTCGATGGCGTAGCGATCCACCCGTAGAAGTTCGTTTTGAAGCCACGCGTGAATCAGCAGGGCGTGGGCCTTGGAATGTATAGGTGGTTGGGCAAGAACAGCCCAATCATCACATGAGAGGTGTTCAAGGGAGGGGAGAGAAAGCAGAGGTGACGGACCACTGATCTACAAAAATAGCATCACCTATTGTCTTGCGTATGCGTCTGCTGCAAAGGAAGATTTCCTTACGGAAAAAGCGCCAAGTCCCACCATGTAACAGGGTCAGGAGGTGCCCCAGGCGGAGTTGAGCTGCCATTAGGAACCTTTCCTTGGCATATGAAATTTAGCTCTCGATAGCTCAGAGTTGGTTTCCTTCCAACTTGTCACCAAAAGGCTTGCCTCCTTATCTAGGATGTACCGGTTGAAAGCTAGCGGCTCCGCAAGAAGTACACGTGGTTCTAGTTGAGATTGGTGGACAGTCGGGTTGAGGGCGATGATAGCACCAACTTCCGAGCAAGCACAAACAGGGAGAGAATCAGGTAGAATTTCTAGGATGAGGGGATGTAGGAGAAAACAAAGCAGCCATAGGGCAGAGGGGGGCAGGTGCTAGCGATGTCCTTGAAAGTGGTGAGGAGGAGGTGGCGGCAGGCGCATTGCGCATCGAGAGCACAAAGATGAGTAAATGCTTCATTGCCTCTAGACCCCCTTGGCATTTCTTCTTATTCAGGATGTTCGTGGGGATCAACTGGGTAACAATACCTTCCTGCCATAATTTGGACGCAGATAGGAAGTTCTCGATGATTCTGTGCAGGCGTTTGAGTATGTCGTCCAGCGACAGCTGGAATCGTCCACCGAAAGCGAAGAGGGGGGACAAGGCATTCGGTGGCAAGGGTTGTGCGGCACGTGTCAGTGAGCCATGATCTAGACAAGAAGGCAGTGGCAGCAATGAGTTTGGCTGATATCTATTCACAGGTAGTATTTCTGGGTGGTCACCTTGGACATAGACGTCGAGAACTCATTGGGCTTCGTCCTGTGAACGGATGGGGATAGTAACCATACGCAAAATGCTGGCAAATGAGATGTTGAAGGAGATTGATGAGTATTTACCCTGGTTGGGGTGATCTCCAGAGACGGCAGCAAAGGAAGCAAGGAGTTGCGAGGTGACGAGCAATACCTCATTGGGATTGAGAAAGATGGATATGTCATCAGCGTAGCATGCAACAAAGCAACGTTGATTGATGGGGAAGCTAGTACTTGCAAGGTGTTGACCAACATTATGTTAGATGCGTCAGTACGAAGTAGACGATCCCAGGTGACACATTCAAGCAGAAGTCCGAGGTGGGAGAGACAGTGGTACATGAAATCCCTATCCACCAGATCATACGCTTTGGGAATATCCACAGTAAGGACAAGTAGAAGGAGATCCGCTCATTCCATGAAATCCGGCATGTCATTTATTGTGTTGCCGATGCATCTATCTTTGATGAAGGTTGCTTGTGTGGGGTGAATGATGGCCCCCTGGTAGTTATCCACAGGGATGGGGATTCCCTGGGGGATGGCGAAACCATCGTATGGGTCCTTAAGCTGATGGAAGAAGTGGAGATTGGAGAGCCACTTGTGCTCATCGGTCCACCCCTCTGAGCATGTTACGTGTGCGATCCAGAGACCTGTTGAGGGGGAGGTTGCGAACCACAATTGTAGTGGCACCGCAAGCTTTTGTCATAGTGTACTTCGGCTCGGAGTATTCGTAGACCTTGATGTTGACCATCGGGTTGTCTGGGATTTTGATGCACATGGGGAAGCGATGCTCTAAGGCATGGGCATCTTCGCAGATTGGCTGGACGTAGAATTGACGGTTGTAGGAGCCGTAATGGAATCGCAGGGTTCCGCTAGATAGGTCTCGAACAGAAGGAATTTACCAGAAGGGATGTGTTCATTGCAGAGGCGATCTTTGATGCAGCCATGGGCACCAGCACGATGATTGTTTGCCACCTTTTCAAGCATGAGCACAGTAACTGATTCGTGCTCAGCCTGGGAGATCAACGCGTCGTCAACGTGCGGGCGACGGCGGAGATGCTCGTAGTTTTCCCCATGTGTAGAGTTGGGAGCAGTCGCCATAGGACCAGTCGAGCATGCTCGAGGAAATGAAGCAGGAGCAAAGGAGGCATCAGGGGCAAGGCCGGAGTGATTTCTGGAGACGGGATGAATGGAGGTACAGTAGATGGCGCGATCGCAGATTGCTGGATCACCGGAGCAGCGGGCTGCTGCGGAAACGCGGGAGGCACGGCCAACAATTGCACAGGGAGAGACTACGATGAGGTAGCACGGACAAGCGGGTCCATTGTCTGCTCGGGCCGAGCAACTTGCTGAGTCTGAGAGGAAGGGGTGTGTGCATGCAAATCCATGATGGGATGGTTTTCGTCAGACGAGACTTCTTCAGAGCGGCGGTGCTTGATATGCTTTTCTTTACTTCTAGCAAGGAATTTGTTGAGTTCGTGGTCCAACACCAGGCCCTCAGATTCGTTTTAGGCCACACTGAATTTTCAGAGTCGGTACACAAAGGCACCCTGAAAACACCATGAAAAACAGGGTTGGTACTGTTTTTTAACTAGTTAGCCCCGTTTTTTCATATTCCAACGCTGCTTTTCCAGGGTTGGTACATAAAAACACCCTGAAAATAAGCAAAATCAGGAAAAAAATCATGAAATATGAGGGCCTGTCCGACACCTCAACCCGAGCACCACTGGGATGTTTATTGTGGAGTGGGCAAGAATGAAGAGTAGGACGCCAAGGGGATGATGCACGGAAATTAAAAGGAGAACTAGAACAGCAATCTCTTCTTGCCACCAAGACACTTCCTATGTAAATTATGTTGGGATACGCAAGAAAGGTGTGGCATCCCCCCGCTACTAGGCAAATGCTAATCCCGTAGAGTAAACCCTAAAATATTTAGTACGGCCAGATGGATGGAGTAACCTGTGTGCTTAAATAAGTGAAATTTCAAATGAAGACAGCTTCGTTTGGTCAAAACTGCTGCGTCCCAGGCTTGGTTTGGGAGAGTGAAGGATGATCATATGCGATAGGATTCCTGGAGTAACCTACTCAAACATTGAGTTGTCAGCCACCTAAAATCGGGTCTGCCAATAACTTCATCCGCGTCAGCAACCTGAAAGGGTGAGGGAGCCACCAACCCGCCATTTCCTCGTTTCTTTCCTCCATCGCCGAATAGTTCACCCGCAGCCTTGCCGCGCCTGCGTCGCCACCGCCTCTCCGACTCTCGCATGCGCGACCGACTGGGGCATCCGCGCTCCATCTCTTAGCCTGCAGCGTCAAGCTTAAAGCCCGCGGCGGAGATTGCGAGCCGCGCGCGTCAACGTCACTGAACTTGGAAGGGAGCAGTGCTTCACAATGCGACGCCCGATTTAGCACGGGACGATGCAGCGGCCGTTATAGCACCGCGAAATGCAGCGGTCGATCTCGGGCCGAGTCAAGCACGCGGGTTTCGTCGATGGATTACCGGTGGGCTGCGGAGGCCTTACTTCCAACGAGCATGTTGGTTAGTGCAAACCCCATAGGGCGACGTCGCGTTTAGGCACCACATAATGCAGCGGCCGATCTCGGGCCGTCTGAAGCACGCGGGATCGGCGCCAATCGTGGTGGTGGCGGACGATGTGCCGCCCATCCGGATCGCGGAGCGCCGTGCGATCGACCACCTGTCCGATCTCGACCATCCACGTGGCTCCCCGCTCGCCAGCGCCAAGCACGCGGCCAGCCCGCAGGCCGCCGCTTTCCGCGCGCCCGGGGGGGTCGCCTCCCCGGGGGCCTTCGCCCCCGCCTCCCGCGAGTTCGCGCTAGCGGCGGGCAGCCACTTCCACGGCAGCAGCCCGCATGCGCACGGGGGGCACGGGCATGGGGGCACTGCGGGGTCGGGGGGGATTGGCGGCACAAGCGGGGGCGGTGCGAGCGGGGGCGGCACGAGCGGCGGCGGCGGGGTGCTGTCGTCGGTGGCGATGGTGGCGGTGCTGCTGCTGCTGCTGAACCTGTCGACCATCTACCTCTTCTTCCAGTCGGGACTGTCGTCCCGTAGCCTCACCGCGTCCACCGCCGACATCCGGCTGAGGAGCCAGACGCAGGAGCGCGTCATGGAGGCGGAGGCCGCGCTCTCCAACCACCCGCCCGCCCGCGCGCGGTAGGGGATGGCTGGCCCGGCTGTGCTGTGCTGTGCTGTGCTGTGCTGCGGTGTGGTGTGGTGTGGTGTGGTGTGGTGTAGTGTGGTGTGGTGTGGTGTGGTGTGGTGTGGTGTGGTGTGCTGCGGTATGCATTGTGCCATCTGCGCTGCTGTCATGGCGCATTGCATGCCACCACGCCATCCCATGCCACCATCCCATGCCACCATCCAATGCCACCATCCCATGCCACCATCCCATGCCACCATCCCATGCCACCATCCCATGCCACCATCCAATGCCACCATCCCATGCCACCATCCCATGCCACCATCCCATGCCACCATCCCATGCCACCATCCCATGCCACCATCCCATGCCACCATCCAATGCCACCATCCCATGCCACCATCCCATGCCACCATCCCATGCCACCATCCCATGCCACCATCCCATGCCACCATCCCATGCCACCATCCCATGCCACCATCCCATGCCACCATCCAATGCCACCATCCCATGCCACCATCCCATGCCACCATCCCATGCCACCATCCCATGCCACCATCCCATGCCACCATCCCATGCCACCATCCCATGCCACCATCCCATGTCACCATGCCATGTCACCATCCCATGTCACCATCCCATGCCCCGCCAACCATGCATCGGCCTTCACCCTCACTTGACCCTGCGTGCCCCATCGGCCAACACCATCACAGCACACACATCTTCGCTGTCCTATTATCTCCTTTCCTGTACCCGCCCTTGCTATCATCTCCCCGCGCCATGTCCCTCCCCCAGCGCGTACACAGGGGGCAAGTCAGCCACGGGCACGGTGCAGGGGCGGGGTTGGGGGGGGGTGGGGGGCCAAGTGAGCGCGGTGGAGCGGGGGTGGGAGACAGTGAACGGGCGGCTCTTCATGCGTCCCAAGGCTCCACGCAATCTCCCCTCCCCATTCTCACCCCCTCAGAACCCATGCAGGGGGCAAGTCCGCAACAGGCGCAGCACAGGCGGCAGCGGGGGCGGGGTTGGGGCGGGGCGTGGGGGGCCAGCTGAGTGCGCTGGTGCGGGGGCGCGAGACGGTGAACGGGCGGCTGTTCCACATTGCGCCGGGGCTGGCGGCGGGCAAGGTGCCGTGGAACGCCTCCGACAACTCCTTCCTGCTCTCCCTCGTACGCACACTATCCCTCCCCCCCCCCTCTCCCTAACCCCCCTTCTCTCTGGTGGCTCGTTGCCCCCCTGCTTGCCTGGGGAGATGCCGCGGGTGTTTCTGCTGCCGTGGAGGTGGCCAATCCAAGGTGCCATGGAACGCCACGGGCACCTCCTTCCTGCTCTCCCTCGTCAGCGCGCTCTCACTTGCGGCCCGCCTTCTCTTCCTGTGTGCCTGGGATGGGAAGATGGGGGAAACAGGGGGGGTGATCCTGCGGCACTGCACGTGATTCAAGATCCCATGCCAAAAACTCGCTCCTCCCTGCCCCGTCTCCCTGCCATTGCGTCGCTGCACCCCAGAGGGGCAAGTGGGACGTGCGGTCGTTCTCCCTCATGCCCGGGGTGTTCCTGCTGCAGCAGCCGGACGACTTCGCATGCGTGCTGCTCATCCAAGACGCCTGCTACGTCTACATGACAGGTGGGTGGGTGCCACGTGTGCATGACAGGTGGGTGCCACGTGTGCGTGACAGTGCGTGCCACGTTGCTGCATACACAGCTGCACACCCCCCTGTCGGGCATGTGGTTCTGGGCCGAGGGAATGCGTGGCGTGACTTCTCCTCCTTTGCCATCACCACGCACACATGACCACATTGTACCGCCCTTCACCCACCCTCTCCTTCCCCCCCCTCCGCCCCTCCCCCCCCATCCCCAGGCCCGTCCCGCCTGCACATCCCGCTGACGGGCATGTGGTATTCGGACGAGGGCGTGCGCGACTTCAAGCGCATCTCCACGTCCAACGACCTCTGCTCGCTCTTCCCCGACTCGATCGCCGACCACCAGGACCGCTCCTGGCGCCAGCTCAGCGCGCTGGAGGCCGCTGCTGCTCTCAACAGGGAGGCCACTGTGGGGCGGAACAGTGGGCGGGTTAGGGGGGTGGAGGAGGAGGAGGAGGAGGATGGGAGGAAAGGGGGTGCAGGAGGGGGGAGGAAGGGGAGTGGAGTGGGGAAGGAGCGGATGGGCGGGAGGGTGGAGCGGGCGGAAGAGGAGGAGGGGGACTGGAGGGGCGGTGGTGGCGTGGGGTATTCGGCGGATAGAGCGGACGAGGAGGGCGAGGAGGGGGAGGAGAGAGCAGGCCACGCGGGCAAGCGACGACGCCTGCTGGCCACAGCAGAGCACAAAACCGCAAAACCCCACAAATCTACCTCCTCTCATCCCAAAACCACGTCCCCAGCCGCGCAGTCACAATCCCCCCCGGCAACCCAAGAGCAATCACCCCCACCTGCACGCGTATCGGGGTTTGAGAACCAGGCGCCCGGGTTCACGGACGAGTTTGACGAGGAGCTGCACGACATCACGGACATCAAGCGCCGCGAGCGCAGGGTGTATGGCCGCTTCGAGAGCCCGCTCGCCGTGGCGCGCTACCTCAACCTCAGTGACGCCAGCAGTCGCGCACGGCTGGCGCAGGGGCGGCCGGGGGGGAGAGTGGAGAAGGTGGGGTACGTGCCCAAGTACGGCAGCTACATGGGCGAGTTCGGGGAGGCCGTGGTGCCGCTCATGGAGGGCGCTGGTGAGTGGCGGGTGGTGCTGAGCAGCTTTGGTCCCATGATCCCATCCCCACGTCTGCCCCCTCTATCCCCTCGAGGCTGCCGCTTTCCCACACCCCTCGCTGCCAGCCATCCTTCTTCCACCCCTTCATGCTGTGCTCCACCCATCTCCATTCCCCTTCCTCCTTCCTGGGCTGCGTCCTCCTCGCCCCACCTACCGAGTCCCGCACCCAGAGCACACACACGGCGGCCCTGCACTGTCTCCGGGTGCACAAGAATGGGAAGAGGGTCCGGATGAAGCACGCAGGGAAGGAGGGGTGCAAGGACGGAAACGAACCAGCTCTCAGCCCTCCTTCTCTGCACGCAGCCGCCACCGCTGCCTGTGCTTCATCCCATCCCGCACATGCAGCTTGCTCTCGGAATGTGTGGGCCTGACACAGGATGACTTCCGGGAAGATGAATGCGAGGGAGAAGTATCATTTGCTGCCCCCCCGACCCCACCTTATGCACACACCCTCAACCTCCCCCCTCCCCCTACTCTTCCTCGTCCCACCTCCCCTCTGGTGCGGTGGTGCGGTCACCAGCCTCACACCTCGCGGGTAACACGCCGCACAAAATGGGTGCGTCATGCGCTTTTCTGGGTTGGTGCCCTGCCCAGTGTCTACATCCCCTCTCTCCCACCTTTCCCCCCACCCCAGTGCATCTGGTGCGCTCGCCCCCCTCGGACCCCGCCAAGGACACTCGGGGCGTGGGCCGCGTGGTGTTCTTCCCGGGGGAGCGCGAGGTGCGCAGCAAGTGGACGGCGGACATGGCGCACATCCTGTTCGGCCCCAAGGCGCAGCTGCTGCTGGGGCAGGTGGTGGGGCAGAAGGTGAGGGGGGGGGGGGTGGGAGGTAGGGGACGAGGGAAGGCTTTTGAGGCGCCTCAAAAGAAGGTGAGGGGGGGGGGTGTGGGAGGTAGGGGACGAGGGACGGCGGGAGGGAAGGAGAGGGAGGGAGGGGCTAAGAGGAGCGCGCGGATGGAGAGTTGTTGCTGCTGTTTGGCTCACATTCTGTTGGGGCCGCGGGAGCAGCTGCTGCTGGGACAGGTGGTGGGCAGAAGGTGTGACTTGTGAGGGTGTTGGGGGAGGGGCAGGGGGGGGAAGGAGTTGCTGGGAGGGGGTTTTTGACGTGGGATTGAGGGGAAGGGTGAGGGGTGGTGGATGGACAGGGGCTGGAAGGCACAGTGACACCGCCACGCACATATGTTTCCGCAACGCCCTTCCGCCCCGCGAACCGCCTCCTCTCACACACCCTCCTGCGCACGCTAACCCGCGCATGCTACTGCCCCCCAACCCCATTCTTTCTCCCCTCCTGCTCTCCCTCCCCCCACCTCCCCCGCCCGTCCCTTCTCCCCTCTCCACCCGCGTCTCCCAGCTCTGTTTTCCGCAATGCCTTCCTTGAACTGCCTGCCCACGCCCCCACTTCTGCCCTCATTACACCTCCTCTCCCCCTCCCTTATCCTCTGATCCCCCCACCTCTCCCCGGCAGGTGTGCTTCCGCAACGCGCTCTCCCCCCTGAACCGCCTGCACACAGACCTTCCTCTGATGCCCTCTGCTTCCCCCCCTCCCTTATCCCCTGCTCTCCCCACCCTGCCCACCCTCCCCACCCTGCCCACCCTGCCCACCCTGCCCTGCACCGCAGGTGTGCTTCCGCAACGCGCTCTTCCCGCTGAACCGCTTGCACACGCCGCAGGTGGCGGACACGCTGAGGCAGAGGGCGCTGCTGGGCGCGGGGGGCAGGGGCAAGGGCAAGAAGGCCAGGCAGTCGGGAGTGGTGCGCGTGAAGGTGCTCAGAACCAGCCGCAGCCTGCCGCCCGTACAAGCCGCCCCTGGATCTCAGGTTGGTGGTGCTGGAAGGCGGTGAGTGTAGCAGAGCCCCCATGCCTTGGTGGTCCTGGTCCACATCGCAGGGGCGCACAGGAGGCCGTCAGTCCTGTGCGTTTTGCATCGCATCCGTGACCTTTAGCACTTCAGCAGAGAAGCCATGTGATGACGCATCCAGCCAGCCAGCTTGCTAGCCAGCCTCTTCCAGCAGTGGGCCTTGAATGGCAGCAGAGCTTCATAAGAGTGTCACCAGAGTGTCACCGAGTGTCACCAGAGTGTCTCTAGATCGTCATCAAAGTGTCACCAGGTTGTCATCAGAATGTCATGACTCATCAGAGTGTCACCAGAGTGATAGCGTGTCATTATAGTGTCACCAGAGTGTCACTAGAGTGTGATGAGAGTGTCATCCCTACCCCACCAGTGCCCAGGTCGTTCAATCCCACACCCACCGGCTGTGGTAGCAGATGACAGTGGTGCACCGCACGTCTTTTCCCCCCCTTGTATCTCCCACGCCCGCCCCATGCTCCGACTGCCACAATGCGTCAACCAGGCACCAATTTCTCCCTGCCGCATGCAGTGGCATGTGCCGTGCTCTCTCCCCTTTTCCCCATGCTGCTTTTCCCAGGTCCCCAGCACCTCACGTCGCATGCTCACAGTGCTGCAGCGAGAGACAGGGCGGTCCCTTCACTTCCCCTCCACCTCACTGTTTTCCCCACTGCTCCCCGCCGCATGCGCTGGCAAGTGCCAGTGCTGCAGCGCCACCGCGCACCCTTCACGTCCGCCCGACCCATGCCCCTCCTCTCTCCCCCCTTGTGCTTCCCGTGCACCCCACTGTTTCCCGCTCTTGTCCAGGTCCCCGCTGCCCCGCGGCGCATGCGGTGGCAGGTGACGGTGCTGGAGCGCGAGCGTGGGCGGTCGCTGATGAACGTGCACGAGGTGGCGCGCGTGGCGCACTCGCTCTTCCCGGAGATGCCGCTGCTCATCGCCCGGATTGGAAAGTCGTCCGCCTATGACCAGGCACTGCTCTTGAAGGTGAGGGGGGGGGGGGGGGGGGGGGGTTTGGAGTAGAGGGAATAGGGGGATGGTTTACCATGACCAAGGGCTGTTTAAGAAGGTGACGGGGAGAAGAGGGGTGAGGATGGGGAAGGGTTGTGAGGGGGTGTGTGGGGTGCAAGAGGCCTATGGCCAGCAGGAGCAGTCCCCATTTGCTTGCCTAGGGCGGCACACACCATGGGAGAAGCTGCTCTGAAACTACAGGCACGATTTGTGCCCTGTGCTGACCTTCTCTCCGCCCCCTCTCAACTTACGACTCCCAGCGCATGCCCAACCTGCGCCCCTGAGATGCCACAGGCAGACTTGAAGTGGCACCACAACCCGCCCTCACTCCCCCATTCCCCCCACCCCCCCCCCCCCCCCCCCCCCCCCCTCTCTCTCCCAGAACACGCTGGTGCTCATCTCGCTGCACGGCACGCCCCTCACCACGGCGCTCTTCATGCCACGTGGCTCCGTGGTGGTCGAGCTCTTCCCCTACAAGTTCCTCAGCACGCTCTACAAGAAGATTGCCATGCGCTCGGGCGTTAACTACCTTGCATGGCGCAATATCCACGATATAAGCGCCTTCTTTAGAAACAGCTGCATGAAGGATGGCGGGTTCACGCATTTGCCGGAGGAGCAGTGTTGGAACATCCACGAGTGTGTGGCATGCGCGCGGGATCAAAGCATCACGAGAGTAGATAGAAGGGAGTTCAAAGAGGTGATGGCAAATGCGAGAATGATTGTCAGAACGCTTATTTACAATAATACAGCGTAGGAATTCTTGCAAGGTATTGTTACATCCCAGCAGAGCAACTCCGCACCCTGCTCGCCGCCTACGCTTCCACGTGGGATTTCAGGGCGCGGAACAATGAGTCCGGCTCGACGATCGTTTTACGATCCTCGTTTTGTAGAAAACAGGTAACCAGCAAGCTACAGGTAGCCTCAAAATAGTCAGGTACCAGATCGGAGAAGAGGATCACTTCCGAAACAACCCCGCAAAACGATATCGCGTCCGATTCACTTTCGATCCCACACGCAAGTACCAGATCGCGGAACCCCAAATGTCATGAAACCTCAAGCGCTTCGCCAACTCGCCAATGGTTTTGGCTCGTGCCGCGTACAAGATTATTGTCGAAATAGCGAGTTTCGAGTGCTGGTTTCTGGGTCTGCGCGAAACCCTTGCGAAGGGTCACGCTGCCATGCTGCAAACTGATCCTGCAAACTGGAAGTTGCAATTCTGGAACTCTATTACATCGCGTACAAGCCCGTTATTAAAGATCGTTTCTAATGCGTCAGAAACGATCTCGCGAGAAAAATAAAATAAAATAAAAACACGATATTTCAGCCACGATCCTCTGAAGCGGACGCAATGTGCCGCGCCCTCAATGCGCTCCCTATTGCACACGCCAACCATTACGTTGGCTAGTGCACCCACCCTGGCTGACTCGTGTTCGAAGGCCTGTTCAAAACTGGAAGCAGAAAGCAACCTGCGTCGCACGCCGTACCAGCGGATCAGAACTGTCGAACACGCTCTGAGTCTGCTGTAGGAACCTCGCAGCTCGCTGGTACTGTAGGGCACGGTGCACAGCCACCTCGTGTGCCGCCTGACACGCGCGACTAATATTACTGTTACCCGCTCCTATGTCTCTTTTTTTTTAGCGCAGCAGTTTTCGCGTTTCTAGTTGTCCACCTCACGACACCCTGGGTGACGTGTTTCGTTGTACTGGCGCGATAGCGACGAGAAGCCGCGTCGACCGCGACCTTGCGAGTAGCTTGACCTCGGGACGCGCTCCGGAGTGTTTTCGCAGGCCTATCTCGCAGTCGCTATAGGGAAGTCGCAGTCGCAACGTCGAAGTCTTTTTTCCGCGCCTTCGTAGGTCGTTGTGGAACAACCTTGGAGGACCTAGCTGAGTTCCTCCAACAGCAGTCGCTAGAAAGTCGAAACGACCAATAACTAGCTGAACGCTTCCGAGCCGCTATCGCCAGGTGTGCAACGCCGGTCGAGGCCAGCAGCGGAGCAATATAGCCGTAGCTCGTGCTAGCTCGTGCGCACGCGTTGCCACAAGGGGAGCGATCATCATTTCTGCCCGCGGAGTGGAGCGATCAAAGCGATGGAGGGGGGGGCGAAGCGGCCTGAAGAGGTCTCCCTGCCCAAAGGTACCTCTCGGCCCAAAGGTACCTCTCGGCCCAAAGGTACCTCTCGGAACGCGCCAACAGAGGGCTGCAGCTGCCAGGCATCCTAACAGCGGCCCCTGTGATGTCACTTGCGCTCTGTTGCCTCCCTCTCGGCGCCCCTAGCGTTGCACCACGAAGCCTAGACGAGCAGCACAGCATGCACGCACTGCCACCAGACGACTCTTGCTTTGCCTTCAGCTCAGTGGTTCGTGTTTGCAGGCGGCCAGTGCATTCTTGCCAGCCGCCTGTTCTAATACCAGCGGTGGCTGCTCTCCTCCTCTTTGTTTTTTTTTCTTCCGTTTCCGTGTTCTCGTGTTTTCCTGTCCCGCTGCCATCAGCAACAATGAGTCGGCTAATAAAGGAGATGCTGCCGCGCGACGTGCGCGTGTCCAAGGACACCCAGGACCTCCTCATGGACTGCTGCCTCGGTGGGCTGTTGGGGGGGTTGGTACTGCCTCGGTGGGTAATTGCTGCCTCGGTGGGTGATTGCTCCCCCGGTGGGTGATTGCTGCCTCGGTGGGTGATTGCTGCCTCGGTGGGTGATTGCTGCCTCGGTGGGTGGTTGCTGCCTCGGTGGGTGGTTGCTGCCTCGGTGGGTGATTGCTGCCTCGGTGGGTGATTGCTGCCTCGGTGGGCTGTTGGGGGGGTTGGTACTGCCTCGGTGGGTGATTGCTGCCTCGGTGGGTGATTGCTGCCTCGGTGGGTGATTGCTGCCTCGGTGGGTGATTGCTGCCTCGGTGGGTGATTGCTGCCTCGGTGGGTGATTGCTGCCTCGGTGGGTGATTGCTGCCTCGGTGGGTGGTTGCTGCCTCGGTGGGTGGTTGCTGCCTCGGTGGGTGATTGCTGCCTTGGTGGGTGATTGCTGCCTCGGTGGGCTGTTGGGGGGGTTGGTACTGCCTCGGTGGGTGATTGCTGCCTCGGTGGGTGATTGCTGCCTCGGTGGGTGGCTGCTGCCTCGGTGGGTGGTTGCTGCCTCGGCGGGTGGTTGCTGCCTCGGTGGGTGGTTGCTGCCTCGGTGGGTGGTTGCTGCCTCGGTGGGTGGTTGCTGCCTCGGTGGGTGATTGCTGCCTCGGTGGGTGATTGCTGCCTCGATGGGTGGTTGCTACCTCGATGGGTGGTTGCTGCCTCGGTGGGTGGTTGCTGCCTCGGTGGGTGATTGCTGCCTCGGTGGGTGATTGCTGCCTCGGTGGGTGATTGCTGCCTCGGTGGGTGATTGCTGCCTGGGTGGGTGATTGCTGCCTCGGTGGGTGGCTGCTGCCTCGGTGGGTGGTTGCTGCCTCGGTGGGTCGTTGCTGCCTCGGTGGGTGGTTGCTGCCTCGGTGGGTTGTTGCTGCCTCGGTGGGTGGTTGCTGCCTCGGTGGGTGATTGCTGCCTCGGTGGGTGATTGCTGCCTCGATGGGTGGTAGCTACCTCCATGGGTGGTCGCTGCCTCGGTGGGTGATTGCTGCCTCGGTGGGTGATTGCTGCCTCGGTGGGTGATTGCTGCCTCGGTGGGTGGTTGCTGCCTCGGTGGGTGGTTGCTGCCTCGGTGGGTGGTTGCTGCCTCGGTGGGTTGTTGCTGCCTCGGTGGGTGGTTGCTGCCTCGGTGGGTGATTGCTGCCTCGGTGGGTGATTGCTGCCTCGATGGGTGGTTGCTACCTCGATGGGTGGTTGCTGCCTCGGTGGGTGATTGCTGCCTCGGTGGGTGATTGCTGCCTCGGTGGGTGATTGCTGCCTCGGTGGGTGATTGCTCCCTCGGTGGGTGGTTGCTGCCTCGGTGGGTGGTTGCTGCCTCGGTGGGTGGTTGCTGCCTCGGTGGGTGGTTGCTGCCTCGGTGGGTGATTGCTGCCTCGGTGGGCTGCCTTGGTGGGTGATTGCTGCCTCGGTGGGTGATTGCTGCCTCGGTGGGTGATTGCTGCCTGGGTGGGTGATTGCTGCCTCGGTGGGTGGCTGCTGCCTCGGTGGGTGGTTGCTGCCTCGGTGGGTGGTTCCTGCCTCGGTGGGTGGTTGCTGCCTCGGTGGGTGGTTGCTGCCTCGGTGGGTGGTTGCTGCCTCGGTGGGTGATTGCTGCCTCGGTGGGTGATTGCTGCCTCGATGGGTGGTTGCTACCTCGATGGGTGGTTGCTGCCTCGGTGGGTGGTTGCTGCCTCGGTGGGTGATTGCTGCCTCGGTGGGTGGTTGCTGCCTCGGTGGGTGATTGCTGCCTCGGTGGGTGATTGCTGCCTCGGTGGGTGATTGGTGCCTCGGTGGGTGATTGGTGCCTCGGTGGGTGATTGCTGCCTCGGTGGGTGATTGCTCCCCCGGTGGGTGATTCCTGCCTCGGTGGGTGATTGCTGCCTCGGTGGGTGATTGCTGCCTCTGTGGCTGGTTGCTGCCTCGGTGGGTGGTTGCTGCCTCGGTGGGTGGTTGCTGCCTCGGTGGGTGGTTGCTGCCTCGGTGGGTGGTTGCTGCCTCGGTGGGTGATTGCTGCCTCGGTGGGCTGTCTCGGTGGTGTTGCTGCCTCGGTGGGTGATTGCTGCCTCGGTGGGTGATTGCTGCCTCGGTGGGTGGTTGCTGCCTCGGTGGGTGGTTGCTGCCTCGGTGGGTGGTTGCTGCCTCGGTGGGTGGTTGCTGCCTCGGTGGGTGGTTGCTGCCTCGGTGGGTGGTTGCTGCCTCGGTGGGTGGTTGCTGCCTCGGTGGGTGATTGCTGCCTCGGTGGGCTGCCTCGGTGGGTGATTGCTGCCTCGGTGGGTGATTGCTGCCGGTGGTGATTGCTGCCTCGGTGGGTGGTTGCTGCCTCGGTGGGTGGATTGCTGCCTCGGTGGGTGATTGCTGCCTCGGTGGGTGATTGCTGCCTCGGTGGGTGATTGCTGCCTCGGTGGGTGATTGCTGCCTCGGTGGGTGATTGCTGCCTCGGTGGGTGATTGCTGCCTCGATGGGTGGTTGCTGCCTCGGTGGGTGATTGCTGCCTCGGTGGGTGATTGCTGCCTCGGTGGGTGATTGCTGCCTCGGTGGGTGATTGCTGGGCTGCCTCGGTGGTGATTGCTGCCTCGGTGGGTGATTGCTGCCTCGGTGGGTGATTGCTGCCTCGGTGGGTGATTGCTGCCTCGGTGGGTGATTGCTGCCTCGGTGGGTGATTGCTGCCTCGGTGGGCGATTGCTGCCTCAGTGGGTTATTGCTGCCTCGGTGGGTGATTGCTGCCTCGGTGGGTGATTGCTGCCTCGATGGGTGGTTGCTGCCTCGGTGGGTGATTGCTGCCTCGGTGGGTGATTGCTGCCTCGGTGGGTGATTGCTGCCTCGGTGGGTGGTTGCTGCCTCGGTGGGTGGTTGCTGCCTCGGTGGGTGGTTGCTGCCTCGGTGGGTGATTGCTGCCTCGGTGGGTGATTGCTGCCTCGGTGGGTGATTGCTGCCTCGGTGGGTGATTGCTGCCTCGGTGGGTGATTGCTGCCTCGGTGGGTTATTGCTGCCTCGGTGGGTGATTGCTGCCTCGGTGGGTGATTGCTGCCTCGACGGGTGGTTGCTGCCTCGGTGGGTGATTGCTGCCTCGGTGGGTGATTGCTGCCTCTGGTGGGTGGTTGCTGCCTCGGTGGGTGATTGCTGCTCGGTGGTGGGGGGGGGGGCTGTCGGGGGGGGGGGGGGGTGGGGGGGGGGGGGGTTTTTTTTTTGGTATTGCTGCCTCGGTGGGTGATTGCTGCCTCGGTGGGTGATTGCTGCCTCGGTGGGTGATTGCTGCCTCGGTGGGGTGGGGGGGTGTGCTGCCTCGGTGGGTGATTGCTGCCTCGGTGGGTGATTGCTGCCTCGGTGGGTGATTGCTGCCTCGGTGGGTGATTGCTGCCTCGGTGGGTGATTGCTGCTTTGGTGGGTGATTGCTGCCTCGGTGGGGGGGGGGGGGGTGGTTGGCTGCCTCGGTGGGTGATTGCTGCCTCGGTGGGGTGATTGCTGCTCGGTGGGTGGTTGCTGCCTCGGTGGGTGGATTGCTGCCTCGGGGTGGCGCCTCGGTGGGTGATTGCTGCCTCGGTGGGTGATTGCTGCCTCGGTGGGTGATTGCTG